CCCCCCCCCCCCCCCGCAGCCGAGGGCGTTCTGCCAAATGCACCGGGCATGCCGCGACCGCGGGGCAGCAGCAGCAGGCACAGCACACGGCCAGGGGACCTCCCTCCTTCAAGCTATTTCCCCTTGTGCGGGCGGGGTTGCCAGCAGTCATTGAACTGGTCCCGTGGCGCCCCGGAGCCGCGTACGCGGGTCCAGCATGCCTCTCTTCTGCCATCCGAGCGCCCCTCCCCCCTCCCCCTCCCCCTCCCCCCTTTCTTGCCCTTCCCTTTGCGCATACACACACACACACAGCCCCGCTCTCCCTCCCTCCCTCTCCCCCCCTCTCTCTCCCCTTCCTTCCACTCCCGCCACCGGCCATTGTTCCTGTGCGACGGCGCTTCATCTCCGGAGAGAGAAAGAGACAGCGCGGACGTCCCTCAAGATGATGGCCAGTCGCCCGAAGGTGAATGACATCATCTCGCGGCTTCTGGCGGACCTTCGATCGAAGTACGCCAAGCGCCCCTCCTCCCTCAATCTCCCCCCCCCCCCCCCCCCCCCCCCCCCCCCCCCCCCCCCCCCCCCCCCCCCCCCCCCCCCCCCCTCCTTCCCGGCGTATGTCTCCCGCCCCGGCTGTCCTGAGCTCCGTCTGACATTTCCCTCGATCTTCCGTTTCCCTCCTCCCAGGTCCGATGACACCAGAGCCCGAGCGGCCCGCGAGTTCCGCAACCATGTGCGCTCCAGCAGTCCCTCTCCCCTCCTCTCCCCCTCTCTTGATGGCCGAACCGACTATCTGCGCATGCCCTCCCCCCCCCCCCTTCTCGGACTAACTCTGCCTGTAGATTTTCACCGTCTCGCGCGAGCTCTCCGGCGACACCTTCGCCCGCTTCATCAACGATGTCAACCGAATCATCTTCGACCTCATCAACAGCCCCGAGACCCACGAGAAACTTGGTGGCATCATGCTCATTGGTGCGCGCGCCCTCCCGCCCGCCCCCCGATGTCTCGCTTTTCTTCCTGCCGTCGTGTCTCACCTCGCTGACCCCCTTCCCCCCTCCTCTCATCGCCACTCTCCGTCCCTCCCCCTCTATGTCCCCCTCGCGGTTCCCTCCCCTGCAGACGAGCTGATCGACATCGATGGCGAGGACAACACTTCGAAGATCACTCGGTTCTCGAACTTCCTGCGCACGGTCCTGCCCGGGACGGATCCCGCGGTGGCGGCAGCCGCATCGCGGGCCCTTGGCCGCCTGGCCCTGTCGGGCGGCGCCCTGACCGCGGATTTTGTGGAGTTCGAAGTCAAGCGAGCCCTCGAATGGCTCGACAGCGAGAACTCCTCCTCGAGTCAGGCACACTCCGGCGGGTCCAGCGCCAGCGGGGCCAATAAGACCGTCGGTGAGATGCGGCGCTACGCCGCGACGCTGGTTCTCTGCGAACTGGCCCAGAATGCCCCCACGCTCTTCTACACCAACGTGTCGACCTTCTTCGAGGTGGTCTGGGTGGCCTTGAGGGACCCGAAGGTGCGCATGGCCCCCCGCTGTTCCCCCCCCCTAACCCCCGCACGCACCTGCCCGCGGCATGTGCCCCCGGTCACTTACCCTCCTCGTCCTCTATTGGGATCCTTTCCGGAGATTAACACATTTCAACGCTTCCGCAGATACCGGGCAAAAGGTCGCCATCCGTGAGGCCGCGGCCGAGGCCGTGCGCGCTTGCCTCGGCATCATCCAGCAGCGTGAGAACACCCTCCGGCTGCCCTGGTATCAGCGCCTGTATGACGAGGCCTTGAATGTCCTGCAGCCGGGCCACGCAGCCACTGGTGGTCCGACGGCCCTGCTGACGAACACCGGCCATGCGGGCGGCCCTGGCGGCTCGGGCGCCGCACATCCGCCCTCCTCGCCGGAGGCTGTCCATGGCGCCCTGCTGGCCATTCGGGAGCTCCTCACTCGGACCGGATCTCAGTTTATGAAGCAAGCGGGCCGGTATGAGACCATCTGCATGCTGCTGGCCAACCGGTACAAGGACCACCCGGATCCCCTGGTTCGCCGGACGGTCATCAGCCTGATCCCCACCCTGGCGGCCTTCCAGCCAGATGTCTTTGCTGAAAACTACCTCAACACCTTCCGGCTGCACTTGGTGCTGATCCTGCGCCGCGAGAAGGATTGCGCACCGGGTATGTGCTCCCCGCCAGCCCAGAAGGGGGCGCCTGCCCTGGCCGGGCCGCCTCCCTGATGCCCATTGGATGTGGCCCTCTCTGCTGACACACCTTCCTCCTCCTCCTCTTCTTCCTTTTTTTTCTTTGGCTTTCCCCCTCTCTCCCTCGCCCTTTCCCCTGCTGCCACTCTGCAGCTTTCCTGGCCATTGGTCAACTGGCCCTGGTGATGGGGTCTTACATGAACTCCTTCCTGGACGAGATTTTCGCTTTGATCTTCGAGAATCTCTTCCCAGCTAGTCCGGCCAAGGGGTGCGTTTCGTCGTCGGCCTTTCCCGGTGACAAGTGGGATAGAGCATGAGCACTGGGAAGGGCATCATCAACTTGCGAGCCCCCCCCCCCTCTCCCCCTCCCCACCCCCCATCTTCCCCGATCCTGACTGTTCTCGCCCCCC